ATGATCATTTCCTTGAGACGCTGTGAATTCCCGTGCTTGCCATCCTATGACCATCTTTGTTTCGCGGGAAAGCATCCTTTTCTTCTAGGCTCCGTGCCAAAGAGCGCCCTACCAGAAAAGATGCACTTCCGTGTGCTGAAATTCCACAGCCAGATTCTAAGCTACCTCACTACTCTCCTTGAAGCTGAGCGGCCACCTTGTCTTGAATTAATCTCCAAAGACCTTTCGCATTGTAAAACACTCACCATTGTGGAGCAAAGAGCTCCTGCATCGTGCCACTGCTGCCTCAGCATTGGGTGAAATGAGTTTTACATGATGTAGTAGGTCATGGTCCTGTTGCAGCGGTATTGTATGTACTCCAGCCCGGACGGGGCACCAGCTGGGACTCAGTCGGCCTCATCAGAGAGGTGTTATGGAAACAATCACGGGCGGTCGGCAGACATTTGTGAGAGCAACTTTGTGAAATTAACAACATATTGAGAAGCTGTTCGCAATAAAAGATGTTCTGGTGCTTCCAATTGCTGGCACCGTTTTAACCCGAGGACCTTGTAACTGCTCAGGTAACTTCAGTCAGCAATGAGAGGTTATCGCCTGGTAAGGCAGGGTTAAAAATAGCAGACCTTGATACAGTAGGTAGAAACAAAAGCTTAAAGCTGTGTGAAGAAGATTGTGCATTTCAGCGAAAAAAACAAAAATTTGCGAGTTGACCTTGGTGGTGGTGTCTTTGGGGGTTCGAGGACGAGGCGCAACTTAGGAAGTGGCTTGTGGGAAGAAATGTAAAAACGTGGGAGGTCAAAAGGTAAGATTTCAGGTGCTTCCTCGAGGGAGGAATCTGGCGGCCTCCATTCAATAAACATTGTGAGAAAAGACAAATGTGTTTTTCTTTCTTTCTAATTATCTACTTAATGAAAATCCCTTAGGTCCTTTACTAGTCTTGCTTATTGTTCTCGCCATCAAACAGACAGAAATTATTACACGTGCTACTGAATCATCTTCAAATATCAAATCCAACAGATAAGTTGATAAAATATTCCTCATGCTCAAGCAGCATTAATACTGACAAGAAGGGTCAACATTGTGCCAACGCAGAGCCCGAGCCCCATGATGTCGACGGCAGGTCTTCCAGAACCAGCAGTGGAGATTGACTGGAACAAGTCAGCATTGTCTACAGCAACAAGCCATACTTAGACTGCACGCAGCACTTACCCTCGTGGGCGACGGCATAGAGGTTGCCACCGTCTCATTGCTCGGGGGGGCCGTCACGGTCTCGAGGAATGAAGCACTGGCCGCACTCCCTCCGTCACTGGACACCGTGGCCGTGGGATCAGAGTCCTCGTCATCATCCGAAGGAGACTCCGTGGTTGTCGGAGCCACCGTGGTTGTCGGAGCCACCGTGGTTGTCGGAGCTACCGTGGTTGTTGGAGCAGGGCTCTCAGCACCACCCGAAGGAGAAGGGGTAGGCTTCAAGCCACAAGCGGTAGCAGCAGTGGTGACCCCGGTTCCGTACATCTTCCAGATGTCAAACTCGAGGGCGCACTCCATGCATGCTTCGTAGGCGGCGACCCAGGTCGAGTCGTCGCAGTGATCTGGCTGTCTACCGCCAACGATGGTGTTGCCTAAACCAAGCAAGAATCAGTCAAGCTGCGGTCTTAGTCAAAGGTTTGTGACTGGACGTACCGCAGTTGGAATGGCACTCGTATTTGGGCGTGCCTGGTGCCTGGCGAGCCATGAGGGCAGGGAAGGGATGGTCGTTGATTACCGCTGCGGTAGCGGTGAGAGCCGCATAGGCAGTGAGGAGCCCAAAAAGACGAAGGTTGCCCATTTTGCTAAGATGAAGGAGTGAATGGATCGTAGAAGAGATTGATAACGAGCTGTGGATGGAACTTGAAAGAGTCCTGTCTAAAGAGTGGTAACGAAAGAATGGTTGCACAAACTCATGATTCGTGTGGGAAAGCTGGTAATTAAGGCGAGAGGCCGGATGGGCCAGACAAGATCGAGGGCGCCCAACTAGTCCTGGTCGCCACGCTGAAGCGGTAGGACAGGGGCACCAGGTCAGGATTTGATTGTCACAGCCAAGATCTGATGACTGAAAGCCGTGAAATTCCGTTCGGCTCCGAGAAACAAAGCGACATCGGCTGCCCGAACCTGGCCGCCAACATCCAAGGCCCACGTCTTCGTCCTCTTCTGGCTTGATCTGATAAGAAAAGGTGGCAACGGACCCTTGAGAGATGCAGCATTGTCCAATAGATGTCGAGGATCACATCTAATCAAAGGCGGGTCTGATGTGCCAAGCCAATTTATCAGATCAGCTGAGGCAAAGAGAACCAACCACCAAGGATTGTGGCACCCGAAGCACCTTGAGGACTGGGCGGGGTCACCGGGAGGGTGTCCTCTAGTGACATATGAAAGACTTTTTACCAGTAGAAATCAGACCACTGCAAAAACACGAGGATGGTTTGGGTTGGAGGCAAAAACCGAAAGACCAGCCAAGGCCCAACATCTGGCTTTGACCAAGAATCCGTGGGTGATGAGAACCAGCCTCCCCCGCCCACTTTGTGAGTCACTACGCTAGCAACAAAGTTTCTTTCCAAAGGATGCACTGGATGGAGGAGCTTGCGAGGTGCCTACCCCTCTTCTAGGAAGCCGGGTTGCCGGTCACCGGCAGTGTGTTGAGTGTTCCCATGGCAGGCCAGGCAGGATTGAGAAACCATAAAGGAAGGACAATGTCACCTTTTGTGGTGACACCCTGTTTGACGACAATTACTTGACTCTTTTCTCCGCTCTGCCCAATACCCCTTTCGAGTTTCATTGGTTTCCTTCACGCCAGAAGAAGACACGCTGAGTCTCGATCCGAACTTCAGAACTGGGCCATCTAAGTTCCTCCTTCTAAGCTTGGGTAAACTGATCTACAATGTCTGTTTTCCGACATTTACTTGTGTTGGCGGCTGTCACGGGGGCCTTGGGCGCATCCGAAAACATGGGCCCTGCCTCCTTCATGTGGCCGCCTGACCGTGCCTGGTCCCAGGCAATGGACAACATCGCTCCGTGTGGTTCTATCGCAGGCGTCGTCAACCGGACTGCATTTCCAATAAGTAAGCAATAGCCTACTCTTCTCGAGCTTTACCCAATGCTAATCAATCTCTAGCTGGGGGGAAGATTGCCCTCACAGCCCAGGACGACTCCTACAACACCCAAATCAGCATCTCCTTTAACAACAGTAAGCCACCAACTTCCCACTCCCGCCCCCTTTTCCCTCTCACATAAACTGAATATAATTCCCTTGAAGACCCCCAATCCCAATCCGACTTCACCCCCCTCGTCACGTCCCCTATCCCCGAGCTCAACCCAGGCCACACCTGCCTCTCCCTGCCGCAATTCACCGTCACGGGAACCAACGCCACCATCCAGCTCGTCTACACGGCCGACTTTGACCGCCCGGAGAATCAGACCTTCTACGCCTGCGCCGACATTACCTTCGTCGTCGCCGACACCTTCAACCCGGCCACCGTCCCCTGCTTCAACGCCACCGACGACGTCAACGACGTCCCCGCGCCGACGGCCACGGGCTTGCCCACGGGCACCGCCCTTCCGGGGCATGGCGAGAGCGGACCGCCGCTGACGCAGCCGGGGACTGATGATGGAGAAGACAAAAAAGGTGGGTTGTCGAAGGGGGGGATTGCGGGCGTCGTGGTCGGGTGCGTGGTGGGTGTTGCTGTGGTGTTGGGGCTTGGACTGCTGTGGTATCGCGAGAGGGCGAGGAAGGAGAGGTTGGTGAGGGAGAGGGATGCGGGTAGAACGGTGCCGTGGTCTGAGAGCGGGCAAAAGACTGTTGGGAAGACGGGGCCGATTCGGTTGGGGGATATGCCATGAGATAAGGGCTGAATTTTGAGGCACCCTTCTGCAGGGTGGGCGTTGAATGCTGGGCAAGAAAGATTGGGTATTGATTTTTTACGAGTTACAAGTGGAAATAAGTAGGAGTTCAAGATTTGGCTCTAACTACGGAATGCTTTGCTAAGAAATACGAGTGATTTGATAGTCTCACATGATCTCGAATCTTGATGCTGCGTCGGTTATAGAAGATGAAGGTAACATTCGAGCCCCCATCCTAATCAAAAGCTAGAAGCCTCTCCAGTTCAAGAAATATTTTCGAAAGATTCCAAATGCAATTTCTTTAACTAAGCATTTGCTAGGAGAAATGATCTCCGGCCGATCAGGATAGATCCGGAGTCAGCCGGCGGGCCGGGGCACGGAGACAAAACTGTAGAGAATACCAGGTATCGCGATACATTGGAAACACAGAGCAAATACCCTCTTCTCTTGAGAGGGACGTGCAAATTGGTGGTTCAGGTGGATCATGTTCTTCTTCTAGAGGGGAAGGATGAGGGGGTGCGGATGATGCAGCTGAAGCAGTCCCCGAGGGTCTCAGACCACGTGACTACTCCCCATGGGATACGCCACCAACCCCCCTCTACCGCGAATGCACTCTGACGTAGATATTCCAACAAAAACAAAAGCCCCATAATTCCTGGTTGGCAAGCCCCCCGGAACGCCTGGATCAGGTTGACTGTACCTCGTAGATTGCCTCATTGTAGGGGGAGGCTAAAATTTAATGATTAGGAGTTGCTCGCTACGTGATGTCTTGGATCGAGTTTGTGTTTGCCAGCGCTGGTTGGCCTCGGATGCTGAACATGGTCTTTGGAGCTCTCATAACTAGCACGGTGGTTTTCGGCTCTGTTTGCTATTGCATGCCGATTTGCCCCTGAGCCAGATCTGTGCGCTTCAATCTGTCAAGTCTTATATAGGTTTATAGCTTCCATACTTCGAAGCAGCTGGTACACGTATCAAGAGATCTTTCATGGAATGTATCTTGCCTGGCACACAGTCGCGCAAAGTAGCACTCCAGCCAAGCGAACAAGCCCACCGCCCAGCCAAGACACCCCACACCTCTCACCCCGCCTGCACGACTCAGGTTACATTTTTGACTGCCCAACACATCACAAGGGTGACTAGTCTAGTGGTCAGGACGCTTCGTTGTGGGATTTCGCCTAAAAAACGGCTCCCTTTGGAATCTCCCGGTTCCCAACGACCGAAGAAACCCCGGTTCGATTCCGGGGTCGCCCAATTCTTCAAATTTTGACTTATCTTGAGTTCATTTTTTGCCGACTCAGACAAAGGAGGAATATCTGGCGTCTGTCTGGATGGTGATGTGTGGACAACAACTTCTCGACCGGAAACCCACTGCGGAAGTTAGAGTGCCGTGGGAAATGCCAGTGGCTGTCAGTTCAATCCAGGGGTCGCCCAACCTTTGACTTGCATTCAGATGGCCTCACTTTCTTTCCGCCCTGAGTACAGAGGGATGGTATCAACTAGAAAGCAGCTGATCGGTATTCTGATGATTAAATTGACTGCGAAAAGCGTTTTTGATGGTGTCAGGAGAAAATGGTTTGGGACCCCTTTTACCCTGAACCGAACTTCGCACCTCCCCCTTCTCCGAGGCTTGGCCTCTCCCCTGACGCCTAGAGTCTCACAGGTTGTATGCCGTTTATAAAGACTGTTGGTCAGCATAAGTTGTATTTGACTGAACAAGGGCGAAGTTCTATCTGGTCAACTTATCATTTCCTGCTACCATCGGCTCAGCATCAAAGACTACAATGACCACACATTGTGCAAGTCATGTTAACTCCCAGGTTATTCGCTTTTATTCTTTCGTTCGCTGCATGGGCAATTTGGGTACTTCATTAAACTTTCATTACCTGTACTCCCAGTTCCCATCCATTCCAGAAACCAGAAATATTCCCATCCTCCCCACCCACCCCCTCTCCCACCACCCCTCATGCATGAATAGCCTGCTGCACATGCGGATACACCTGCACCATTCGATGATACAGATCCGGATGCTCGCGGATCATGACCTCGGGGTCCCATGCGGCCGCGACGAAGATAGTGTCGATGCCGCTGCTGAGGGGTGTGGTAAAGACGTTACAGATCTGCAGGCCGATGAGGAAGGCGAACGCCACGACGACAGGGGTGAAACCGCCGCCCGTGTTGTACGCAGGATCGGTGAAGACCATGTAGACGTAGGCCAGCAGCGCGCATGCATAGCCGACAAACGTCGCGCCCATGCCGAGGACCGGGCCAATCAGGCATTCGTTGACGAGGGCGTCGATGCCGCGGTCTTTGATCATCCTGCACCCAAAGTTAGATGAAACGCAGAACGATGAGTTGGTTCAGTAGAAACTCACCTCCAGGTGTCCTTCGCCGCAGGGATGTACGCCTTTCCGTACAGTGCAATGTGCGAGAAGGCGTAGCGGTTCAGGAACTGCACCGCCCAGTCCAGAATCCCAATCAGACAGCCCACGATGCAGTACAGAATCGTCCCCAGGATATTCCCCTCCGATGCAGCCTGCTGCTGCGCGACCGACGCCAGCTGCCTCAAAAAGTTAATAATCGCCACCACCAGACTCCCCAAACTTATACTCCCAAAGCTATACGTCAACGACCTCCTCAACGCGCCCCTCGTCACCTTCGTCGGATAATTCCGCGCATTAAAATACCACGACCCGTACACCCCCGAAATCGTCGTGTGGATCGTATTCTTCAACCACTCCGACACCCAATATCCCGCGAACGTAATAAACACCACCAGCCCCACCACCTTCCCTTTCCCACACCCCCCCACGCCCTGCTGACACGCCGGATTATCCTCGCTCGGCTCATACTTTACATACACCGCCACCAGCGTAGCCGCATACCACGCCGCGAACGCCGCCCCCAACAGACCCCCCACCGCGCTCACCATGTACACATGCCCAAACCCCTTGGCCACATCCATCGCCGTCTGCAGCATCAATACACTAAACGGAATCCGGCTGCGCCAGGACAGGAAGCAGATGACCATAAAGATGGCGAAGATCAAGAAGACGATGCCGCCGGAATAGTAGCGCCGCGAGAGCATGTAGATGGCAGTGGCGAAACCGAGCATGATGTTGAGGATGCCCGTCAGCCAGATGAATTGCTTGGTAAACTTGCGCGCGAGCCACATGTAGGTGTAGGATAACACGATGGCGGTGATGAGAACCCAGAGGAAGAGGTAGATTGTGTGGGTGGTGAGGCCGAAGGTGTTGCGTTGACCATTGAGGGAGCTGGAGTTGATGCGGCGGGTGGAGGCTGGAGAGGGGGTTAGTGAGTGTTAGGGAGTTGGAGGGGATGGGGGAGGAGCATACCGTAGCCTTGGATTGAGATGGCGGAGACTACGACGAAGCCGGCGCAGGTGGCTAGGAAGAGGAAACCAGCCCAGAGGTCGTGCCATTTGTTCTTCTGCGGCAGGGGGAAGAGCTCGTCGTAGGAGGGGGGTGCGCCAACCTTTGGCTCGGATTGCGGAGGGGATAGGGAGGAGGCGCATGCTGGCCGTTGGGAGGGCCGTTGCCGGGGCCGTTGCCGTAGTTGAAGCCGTTGGCATAGGGGCCGCCCTCCTGTGGTTGGTACGTGTTGGGCGGGGGAGGAGGTTGTTGGCTGTAGTAGTCGGCGTTATGGCCGCCGTAGTTGGCCATCTTGATGGCTTGCGGGTGAGTACGCTTACAACCGCGCTGTTTACACCGTCTTTGTTCCGTTACTGAGCCTGATCGCGAAACCTGTTGTTGAAAAGTGGTGGGGTTCGGTCGTGGGGCTGAAGAGACACCACACAAGGTGAAAGCAGGAACAAGCTAAAAAGGATGTCCAGGTAATCAGTGTAACTTTGTCAAACAATACCAATTGAGGTTGCTGCACAAGATTGTTGTCCAACCCGTCGCGTCACAGGTTGATGTTGTCTTGTGGTCGAGGTTGATGACGTCATGGCAACAATGTTGATGTTGAGGGTCCACAGGGCAAGGACCCCTTTCTTTCACAGCCTGAGGTCGCACTTTCTCTCTCTGTGCTATGTCTTTGTGAAAGAAGCAAAAGATACCTCGTCCCCTCGCCCGCTTCCTAGTCGCGGATACAATCAGGCCTCCACAACTGCAAGACGGGAGCTCACACCCTTTAAACCACCGGCTGTGGGAGCAGGGTGCGGCTATTATAACCCTTCGGGTACAAATCGAGCACTTACACACTAAAGGCAACCGTCCGCAACGCTCGAAACAGTGACGCCCAGGAAACTGCACAATCCCCTATCAAGTCATGTATCGGTGTTTCAGGAGCGGCGTTACTCTATTTTCCAAAGACAAAACTGCGCAACTTGATGTCGAAGAACCGCATATCCAGATGCTCCGAGGCAAAACTCAGCATTGCCGCCAGCGTAAGCTCCAGGGTTGCGTTCTCCTACAGGGACTCGCCCAGCTCGCGGGTGATTTGCGGGCTAACATGTTAGAGTCTGATAATGTTGATGTATGCCGCCGGTTGATGATAGAGCCACGGACAGGCTTTGGACTGGAGAGGATGGAAGCGGCATCTTTTATTCGTTTGTTGCAGAAGTTACAGTCGCCGCAGGGACCATCGGATCGGGCAGGCCATTGGCGGTTGACCATCACGGTAGCCTGCGCCATGGGTGGCGGGTGCGGGTCTCCCATCTCGACGTCGGAGTCGGAGTCAGAGTGCTTGACGCCGAGTCCGTTAGCTTGGCCTCGTCAGATATGGCCATATCATTTTCGTCTGGTAGCTGATGGCCGTAGTGAATGAAGCGGTTGGATCTCTATCGGCAACTCCAGGAACGGAAATTTCGGCGGCTTGAGAAGAAGCTGTGAGTCATGGACTTTGGGCGCAACAAAAAGGACTCACTCATGACTGTCTACGGAACCCCACGGGCTAAATGGCCTTTCTCCTTCTGACTCGGCGCATGCGTAGCCCTCGCGAGCGACGAGGTTGAACGAGCCAAACAAAGCCTTGTGTGAAATTGGGCTGAGCGCTAGGAGTAGTCTGAGACAGTTTCGCCATCTCTAAGTTGTCGTTTGTAACCATGAATTCAGGTTCCGGGCAGAGGTTGTGGGTGTTTTGAACATTCTAGGTTGATGCAGAAGAGAGTGGAAGTTAAGAGGTAGCGAGTTGCGCCAGGAGGGGCTTGACGAACCCCCTCACATGTTTGCTCTTGGCACTGCAGCTTGCTTTCTGCAGTGGGCAAGACTAAGGTAGAGACTCTCTTCATGTTGAGCCTGTCTCAGCAACCATCGCCATGCCCATGTAAGTTATCCAGCACCTCTCTGTTCACAACAGCATCTATCCCGTGTCAAGGTAGTGATTTTGCTGAGGACATCATAGAAACCACCAACACTTGAACAAAAGCACGCGCTCAACAACGTTTACATTGACAGCTCGCTTCTAACAGACATCAACCCAACACATCAAATCTCACCATCTATTTCGGCCCCGTCTTGCCCGTCGGGATGCAGAACAGCACCAGTCGCTTGCCCTTAGGCCCCTCCTCGCCATCCTTCCAGTCGTTCAGCCCCTTATCAACGCGGTAATACCCACGGCGCTCAAGCTGAATGATATCATCCTTCTTGAGGGTAGCAGCCGCCTCGTCGCACCAGGCATCATCCATGGTCTCAGTAACGGGCGTCAGGAAGTCCTCCATGTTGTCCTCCTCCTGCAGCACATCCTTGGTGATGAGGTAGTCAAAGTCCCACAGCTCGGCGGGCACCAAATTCTGGCCCTGGGCGGCGAGCCAGGTGATCTTCTTCTCGGTCGACTTGACGTCGCCCTGCAGGTTGAGCTCGCAGGTGAGGCTAGGGATAGGGTCGCCGCCGGCGATCTGGCGGACGAACGCGTTGCCCCACGCCATGAGGGTCACCTCCTCGCCGTCCTTGAACGACTTGGCGTCGGCCTGGTCGAGCAGCAGCTCCGAGGCGAAGGCAACCTTCTTGGTGCCGATGTCCTTGTTCTTGGGGTGCTTGGGCTTCTCGGTCGTGAAGGGCGAGGCGGGGGCCTCGGCGCCCGTGATGGTCACCTTGACGATGTCCTTCTGGAGGATGGCAGTGTGGCGAGGGGCAATAGGATCAATCTCCTTCTTGTTGCTGGCCCAGAAGTTGGTCCAGTCCATGGTGACGACATTGCGGCTGGGGCCCTGCTTGAGGATAAAGTCGCGCAGGGCGGGGATGGTCATACCCCGTCTACGGACACCACGGACCGTCGGCATGCGCGGGTCGTCC